CTTCTCCATGGTTTTCTATGTGGGGAAATAGAAATATCTAGTTTTTTTTGTTTTTTTTTTTTTGTGTTGTGTGTGTGGGGGGGGGGGGGGGGGGGGGGGGGTTTGGACATTTACCCGGTTTTACTCCTGTCACAGGTCTAACACTATGCAATTATTTAAAATTACTGCAAATTGCTGTCCTATAACTGATATTTTATTTTTTTAGCATGGTTTGATTATGTCTGCTGAAATAATGTTAGTTGACACTGAAAAGACCTGTTAGCTGGGCGGACAGAAATATGAGACGAGAACCAAACCTGCCTAGCAACAAGGCATTATCTGATATCATTGTGTCTTTTGATCAGTTGTACCATGTGCACATTTAAAAGAAAGTGTTTATGCCATTAGAGTTACTCAAAGTTATTTTAGAAAATTAGACAAAAAAAAAGTCTTGAAAGAAATGTCCAAATGCACCATTATTTATGCTTTTAAACTACCACACATAGATATAACTGCTTCTATAGGGTCTATTTCTTGGAATAAAGGCTTTTTTTGCTCAGTAGGGAACCCATAAGTGAAGTGAAAAGTGGTAAATGTATGTTGATCTGTTGTGCAACATGTATAGTCTTCAAGCACCTCGTTTCTTTGGAAAAGTGTTTACAATGAATACCTTTTAAACTATAGATGCACTTTAAATAAAGAATAACCTTAGACGTTAAGACTATTAATTAAATTGTTATTTTGATTTTTGGCAGTTATTAGTACCCAATGATCATCATTAAAGTTCAAAAATTTTCTTTCAACCAATTAACATTGTTATATTGGTATATATTGGATCTAAAAACAGACGGTAAACAGTGCGGTGCAACATTGGATCCTATTTCTATTGGGTGGAAGGGGTTTGAACCCTTGATATGTTTCCAGACCATCCCAGCTTTGACTATGATATTCTTAAATGCTAATCTTGGTAATATACCACAGGTCATTGTCAACAAAAGGTTTTTTTAATTAGAATTACAAACACATTTTCGTAAATACTTATTACGCTGATTCCCAGTTCTTATACTCCTCCACGACTATAAATAATATATACTTACTATATACTTACTATACTTCTGTAGTGAGTCACGTGAGGTACGTGTCACTTGTTGTATGACAAATATATGAATTATATATGCATACAATATTCACGAGTTCTTCATTTTTCTGACTGTGTAATGCCGTGCATTGAATTTAACAGAAATGTAACGAGAGACGTTGTTTATCTTTGACCCATCAAATGAATGGAGTCATTTATTTTCAGAATCAAAGTTTAACATCAAACATTTACATTAATTTGGCAAAATATGAAAATAATAACAGACAGTTTCACTGAAAATGAACTTCAAATCACTCGGCGGTGATTTGAGGACTTTGCTTCAGATATTTCTAAAAATATCTGTACTGATTTATGAGAGAGAGGTGAGTTTAAGAGTAAATTGAGATTTATCTTACAGAGGAAATATGTGAGGGAATTTAATCTGTTTGACCAGAAGTTGCACGCTCCGTCAGGTCCTCAGCCTGTCCACGGTACACTTTAGTCGAAGAAGAAGTCTTTACCTGGTTTGACGATAGATCAGCTCAGTAAGCATCCTTCAGACTGTTTCCAGCGCCTCCGTTAAGCACAGCTAAAATCCTCGGAGAGTCGTGCGTGGTTAGTTCAAAACAGAATTATAATCCCAACACGTCTCTGGATCCTCGGCACTCCAAACTCTTCATAACTCTAGTTCTCTTCTGAACCGGCTGCACTCTCAATCTTGGAACTCCATATCACTCTCAATCTCAATCTTGGTCTAACATGAACTGGGAAGTTGCCACATTTTATTTGGGTCGACTTCCTGTTCAATTTAGAGCTTTCTGATTCGTGGAAGGACCAGAAAGAGGAGTGGTTTTGACGTAAGGTGTTTATCAACGGTCGAGGTCAGAGAATGAAATTTGTTTTCACATACAGAAAAGATTATTGCAGCAACAGCAGACTTCGTGGAGTCAACTCTTGGTAATCTTCTGAAAAAGTTTAAACATGACATTTTTCTCGGTAAACATTTTAGTTGACCGAAAACCAACCTTTCACACACTTACGACAGCTTGCTCATTTCAGACAGAAAATCAAGGAATGCTTATTCAGGTGATTTCTTCTTGGAATGAGGAATAAAAATCATTACTTACTGTTTATGTAAAATAAAAATGAGTAGTTCTTTTCAACCTGTGAAGCATTGAGTGAACTAACACAATTTGATTATCAAAACATTTGTAAAACAGTAATGATTATAGAGGATTGTCTTTTCTGCTTGATTAATTCAAGAAAGAAAGTTCATCAGATGGCCCAGACTTATTCAGATCAATGAAAATAACAGTCTCTGTCCATCTGGTAGATTTGAGGTCATCTGGTTCACTACACTTCTAAGGATAGAGGTCTTTGACACCAAACATAATCCGCTGACACTTCCAGTTGATATTGAACAATGCCACCAGAATGTTTGAGCTATTGCTGTTTTTTTGGGGTTACCTTATTTTAACATGGTCTTCTTCCACTTTTCCAACAGTAACGGCACAGCCGGTAAGATGAACGGGGCGCTGGAGCATTCGGACCAGCCAGACCCGGATGCCATCAAGATGTTCGTGGGCCAGATCCCTCGCTCGTGGTCAGAGAAGGAGTTAAAGGAGCTGTTTGAGCCTTATGGTGCCGTCTACCAGATCAACATTCTCCGAGACCGCAGCCAGAACCCTCCACAGAGCAAAGGTGCTAACACACATGCTAACGTTAACAAGCTAAGTGTTTTGTGTGTGTTGTGTGTATATGATTTTTTTGTTTGTTTTTGTTTTGCTTTTCCCGCTGTTCTGCTTATGTGTTTTATACGCCCGTCGAAGACAGGACGTTTTATGGTATAGTCTCCGTCAGTGCGTTCATACGTCTACTATAAACTTTCTCTTGTCTCGACCATAACTTCACCCCAGCTTAAAGGTCAAGGTCAAGGCCAAAGTTAAAACAAGAGCTTTACTTGTCCAGACTACAACTTCTGATCCGCTCAAGATAATTCCACAAAACCTACTATACATTTGTACCACCACTAGGCAGTGTGTTGCATATACTTTACATCCCCCTACCTTTAAGATCAAGGTCATATATCAAGGCCACATCTTATTTTTGCTTCTCTTGTCCAGGCTGTTGCTTTGGATTGCTGTGTTCAATGTTTCTACTTGCCTTGGCAGGGCGCTCATTTGTTCCTCAATATATGTTGCCGGTGTGTGTGTGTGTGTGTGTGGGGGGGGGGGGGGTAGGTGTTCATATTCTGGGAGACTGAAACACGTCTTAGTTGCACGCTGTTTGTATAAGCAGTTTTTGAGTGGGGGGTGTAGGCAGCTCAGCATGAGTGATATAGTGCACTACTTTTCTAGTGTTTTAGCTAGCATGTCTGTATTGCACATCGCTAGCTTAGCACTACGTCAGTGCTGTTGTCGACGGAGGATGGTTCGGTTTGGTAGGCAGGGCGGCTTAGATCTGTTGACAGGGCCCTGCTTGTACAATGGTAGTGGAAACACTGGTATTGCTGTATAATAATTTATTGACTGGCATACAATGTATTTCACCAGTTAAAAACCAAGTCTTCTATTTATGAAAGGATGCGTAGCAGCCATTTAGAGGCCAAGTCTTTGCTTGTAAATGGCCGAACAATTAATACATGTGCAATACAATAGAGATTAAATGCAGCAGAAATGAGCAGAAAACGTTGAAATAGGCAAAGAAACTGAATAGATTGCTATTTTTTTTTAATTGGCAAAACAATTTAAAAAAAAAAGTAACTCACATAAACTGAAGAAAAGTACCCGAAAGCTTAAAAAGCTAAAATTAACTAAAAATGGTGGGAAAGAGAATAGAAAGTTTCAATTATTTGAAAGAATTACCAAAAAAGGCTCAATTTAACAGAACAATGCCTAAAAAAATAGCTGAAAAGGAAGAAAGAAGCTGAAGATTAAAAAAAAAATGAAGCTGAAAGGAACTTAAAAATCTGAAAAATATCTAAAAATATCTAAAAAATAAAAATAAAATAAAAAAGCTGAACCACAGCAAAAGCTGAAATAAGGAATAAAAGGTTTTAAACAGCACAGAGTTTGAAGCTCTATTCATTATGAGAAAAACATGGCTAATAAAGCTAAATATTTCAAACAGTACACACTGCACAAATATCTACAGTTAGAGCAGGAACGAGCTTAAGGAGCTGAACGTTTTCATATATGAATTGTTGCAGTAAAACAAAAATGGTGGAACAAGTTAAGTGCTGAAAAAACATACAGAAGAAAATAAAGTATCTTAGTGTGATAGCAACATACAGAAAATATATTAAGCCTGATTAGTTTTAAGCTTTTCAACAGCTTTTGTGACGCTCTTTTTCTTGGATTTAAGTTTCAAAAGACTAAAAATGGAGGTTTAACAGAAATTAACATATAAATACTTATCTTCCCAACAAACAAACAAAAGCCTTGACTATTTAAAAATAGACAATCCTACAAAACAAGATGGAGCTTTAAAAATATTTAAGTGTTCAGCTCTTATCTGGGTTTTCAGTGTAACAAGGACATGAGGAATAAAATAAAAAAATCACATGAAAACACTGTAAGACTCAAAGTTTTGAAGTTTGCACATTAAAAGCTGAACAAGTCGATGTGCAACATGTTGGAAGATGGAGGGAAATGTCCAAATACTGACAAAACCACTGTAATCAAAGATCATGAGCCTGGCTTTGTGTGGTTTTTGGATTTGGAATTGTTTTGGATTCTGTTAGATCTTAAACACAAATGTTTATTTAAAAAATATATATATGCAAAATAAAACTAAATCTGCATCAAAACAGTCCCTAAAGACACCGAAAAGTTTACAGTAGATTATCTGAAAAGGTGCATAGTGTTGGTTTTGTTGGTGCAATTTATTGAAAACCCATTAGGCTGCACACGATGGATAAAACCTTAAGTAAATATACTACAATGACATGTTTAAATACATATATACTAAGGATGCACGATATTGGATTTTTGGCCGATATGTTAAAACTTATTTGGCCGATAACCGATACCTATACCAATTTATTTTTCCCTCTACACTTACTTAGAGAGACTACAGAGCTTTATCTGCTACTACATTATTCTGCACGGTCTTTGTCAATTTGGCCTGCTACCAAATGCAGATGGCAAAAGGGGCTGAAAATGATGTAACACTTCAACTTGGATTATGTTTAATGTCAAATGTATTCATGACCTTTACTCTCTCTAACACAATGACAACACTCAAACAGTGCAAATTTATAAATGTTCACAAACCTAAACTCAACAGCGCGCGTGACGTCATAACGTTGTGCTGTCGCTGCAGGCATCCTTGTCACTGGGTTGTCATACAAAAACAGTACCTAATAAATATATATATATATATATATATATATATATATATATATATATATATATTTATATAAAAAGCACCTTTTATATCGGTGTTATTTTGATGAAATGGCCGATGTCTGATATTTAACTTTATTGCTAATATCAGCCGATACCGATACCATGCCGATAACATTGTGCATCCCTAATATATACTGTATAAATGATACATTTAAAGATAATACCTCTAGTCATAAAACTCTATGAATACAATCAGTACAATAAAACAGTATGAAAGTGAGGAGTGGAGGGGTGTAAAGGACGGCAGCCCGGTTGCATACAGTCCATTTTATTAGTACATACTGTCCCTTAATAGACAATGTGATGGAAAAGCACATGGAAGGTGATCAAAGTCCATTTAAATTTTCTAACACAGATAAATACGTTGGAAATAATGATGGTTCTTTAAGTAGCGGAACTTTACACACTCTTAAAAACATGTATTGTTAAAAGAAGATGGTGAACAAGTGTTGATGTTAATGTCACTGACCATACAGGACAATAGTTTAGATGTTTTTTACTAATTCGCTCTGGTTCGCCGACCTTGGTGTTTCATTAAAACTCCAAAATTGGACTAGTCATTGTTGTTCATCTTTTTTTTTTTTTTTTAATGATTCCTGCGTTGAATTCACTCAGATATCTGCAGAATCGGTGCTGTTGTTGTTGGAGAGGAACACTGTTCAACGCTTGAAGCCGTCACATTTCTGCGCCTTCACCCTAATCAGCCTCTCACTTCGTTTTTGTTTGTTTGTCATCTCTGGATTTCCTCTGATTATGAGTCATACTCTGCCGAGATCTGAATCAAGTCATTCGTGCCTCCAAAAATGTGTCTAGTGCTTTGTGTTTGTGAGTTTTTGACCCCCGCCACAGAGAAAGGACTTGAAATACCCCCTGTCTGCTAAGTTCATTTTATAAGCTGGTTAACTTGACAAATAAGTGAAGTACCGACTTCCGTGTTGGTGTGTGACTGCATCAAGGCGTAAGAAAGGTCCCTATTGAGAACTGGTCAAAATCCAAGATGGCCGCCACCATAAATACATGTAAACCGACCACCCTGATCATTTGACGAATCTATGTCTCGAGTTTTTATATTGATGAAAAGGACAGTTTCATCAAATGATTTGGGTGGCCCTTTGGGTGGCCAAAGATTAGTCTATAATGGGCATGGCCACCATTGGTCACCCCCTGGCTCCACCATTGCTCCTTTCTCTTGCCAGGTTTCACCACTCTGCAGTGCCTCCGATAAATATCTTTCACACACAAAAAAAAAACCTTAAAGGTTTACTTACATCTCAAGTTCAATTCCAGTCCAGAAAAAAAAAAAAAAAACACTCACTACAAACATTACAAAACATTCACTATTCAAATGCTGAGTTGACTCTTCTTTCTCCTCTTGTGTCATATGGGAAGAAGCCCCCCCCATACACCAAAAAAAAAAAAAAACTCCCTGTCCATCAGTTCACGTCAAGCCTCCTGCTGCATCTTCACCACGCTTGGAATGAGTTGTTTTCATGGCTGACGAGTGCAGAGCATCACTCATCGTTTGGATAAAGGGAGCGCGGCCACCTATCGTTCCTTTCATTTAGCTCCAAACGACCGTCCTTCTCCGTACGCCTCGTAGTTTTCCCTTTAACGTACCATTTCCCCCTCTCTGCTGCAAGCTGCAGTGTGCATTTGATTGGGCTCGTGCAGGCCTCGTTATGCACCGGCTTGCAGCTTTGTTGTTGTTTTTCCTCTTCGTTAGGTAAGCTGCCTGCACCTTCTCAATCGTTGAAATTTCTCCGGCGTCAGGAGCAACGTGGCCTCTCCTGCTTCGATGTGTTTGTTTCAAATTAGCCTCCACGTTGTTTTTATAAAAAAAAAAAAAAAAACTTCTCGGCCATTCGGGGAGAAAATGAGCCCACTCGGGTGCCCTCGCGTCGACCCAGAGATGCGTTTCTTTTTTTCACAAAGTAGCAATTTGGACTGGAACAGGCTCGTTAGTCGCACCAAGACTGAGAAGAAGAAGTTTTAACGGCTGCAGCTGCAAAAACAAATAAATAAACGTGTTTCCTTCTGTTCTGTTTGTATCCTCATTAGCAAATCCTAAACAAAAAGTACATCAACAGCGAGATAAAAAGAGCACGACACACGATAAGCATTAATTGACTGCAGAAATTCAACATTCATTTCTCACAGAGGACTGCTGAGGCTAAACACGAAGATGAGATGGATCCTGTTGGAGCTCGAAGTTCATCTGCTGGATGGAAGAAGGAGCTTCCTCAACAACACAACTTATTCTGACTGAAAATACGCCTGCTGAATGAAAGCTTT